GCTTTATATAAACAACAACCATCAAAATCTTTTGCAGGAAAAGACACACAAAGTAAACTTGAAGAAAAAATACATAAGCCTCAGCACCAGTTCATCTATACAGTCGACTTGCACAATCATACATAGCAGGATTTTTGTAATGCTTGACTTGTAACTAGAATTTTACCCCCAAAATTTGTCTGCATCAAGCAGGATGCAAAAGTCAGTAATGGATAATTTTATCAATCTAAATAAGTTTGTAACTGGTTTATTCAACTTTAATATAAAAAAAAGTTAAATTTAGCCCCAACATCCACAAGATGTACTAAAAAATAGCCAAAAAGTAGCTACCTGTGACTCCTAAACGCTTGCCACAGCTATATTTTCCATAGGAAAACCATGGACCTGGCAACACTGCTAGTTGTATGTGATGATGCATTAAAATCTTTCTTCACATCCTATTGCTCTGACAAACAAATCAAAACATTCTGTCAGAAGCTCACTGAATTTTTTCAGCTTGACTGCAATCATTTACCAACATAATATTTGACCAGTGATCTTATATGCTTTGGAAACAGGGTGACAAAAGTAATGTTGGTTATACAGCTAGTTTATGTTACTTCATTCACACAAAGTGCTAATTATCATTCTAATGGATAGCTTTTCAGTTATTTGCCCATACTTATGGGTATATAACATTTTGAACAAGTACAGCTTGATTTCCAGACAGAAAACAGTATGTCTCAAGCACAGGTTCAATTGATATATCAATCAGTACTGCATGAAACTGTTTGTAGCATTCTGCTGAATACTACTTAGGCATTAGAACAAATATACAGTTTGGTGGCTTTGCTAATAATGTCCTACTTGATGACACAAAGCTTTGGCAGCTACTATATATACAGATACTAACTACATTTCCATGTATTCTCACACACATATGAATCATTTCAAGCTTCTTCTTAAATGTGCTGAGGTTGCCAGAGTATATTTGAACAGTACTGCATTTTCTAAGTTGCTGGTCAAATCCAACCTAAAGCCCACTTCAACCTAACTGGAGCTGCAGCAGCCACTGCTTGCTTTTAGTCCTCCTACTACCAACAGATACTCAAACTGACAGGAATTTGCCTTTCTATACAAAGTCAACACAAGATATGAACAGTTCTTTTTCTAATGTCCAATAAGCCTGCATAAATAATAAAGGCTCCATCCTTTCTTGTTAGAATGCAGTCTTACTAATTCTCCTTGCCATGGTATCAGCTCATCCATAGAAACAAGCTATGGATAATCCCGTATACTAACTTTTTAGTTTGGTGATGCTACAGCAGAGAAGATCAAGGCCAAATGTGAGCCTTAAAAGGTGCTGGTGGGAATACATGCAGATGGCAGCAGCACCATTGTGGTTGCAGGTGCTAGCTTTTTCCAATCCTGCAACCATTTTCAGGTGACTGATTCATCCCTGTTTGTTACTGATATAGATGTCACAGATAAATAGTTCTGACACCCATTTAGTGCATCATATGTTCACTTGGCAAAGTTCCCTATAAAGTTGTTAAAGAGAATATTCTTGGGACCCAAAAGAGCCATTCCAAGATATAACTTCCCATGCATATGTAAATCAAGCCCTCATTTTGTCCATTCTTTTTAGCCATGAACTCAGTTTACTAAGTATCTTGTTTTTCCAGAGTCAAATTATAGACAAAACTCTGTTACAACATCTAATTCACAGAGCTTCCTCTCATTCAAGGGCTTTCCAGTCCCATTTTAGGTTCTCTGGCCTAGTTCTTGCATATGTAGGTATATCCTTCTTTTATATGTACATTACAGATTTCTTTTTCACCAAAGGTACAGTTGAAAATACCATCTGTGAAGTAGAGGTCTAATGCATTCTTTGATTGCCTGTACCCTCTGCTGTAGACTGCGGTTTTGCCTATTCAAGGCTCATCAGCAAACTACAGAAATGAAATTAGTTCTCTTATAATGGCGATGTATATATAAGATTTAAGGGGTTTGCGAGTCCTTTTTAATTCACCATATAGTAACCTAAATTAATTTAGGCATTGCACCTAATTTATTATTCAGTATTATACAGCAGAATAACTGTTTAATGATTCCATATGTAAGTTATAGACTTCTTTTACTTCTCACCAAAGGTAAAATTGAAAATATCTGTGAATTAAAATGGACTCAATAACCCCATAACTCTTATATCCTTTTCTTGAAAGAAGATAGAAGTTACCATACAGAAAAGTAATAAAGATCACAAGCCCTAAGGTTGTGTTCAACAATATTTCAATGTTTGGTTCTAGTTCATACAAGAACTGTAACATGTACCAAAGTTTTGAAAAGTAAAGTTTATCTAATTCTGTTCTAGAGAAAGCCAAAGGAATTTTTGCTGAGAGTTTCAGGGGAATAAACAAGCTATAAGTCACTTATGCTGTGAAAGAGAAGTTGTCAGTTAAAAACAAAAAGACATCCAGATGCCAAAAAAATAGAACCTTATTAAAGTTGTCATAAAATTTGTTCAAAAAAGCCAATACCAGACAAATTATGGCCATTAAAAGCACAGGCATAAATCATAATGGGAATTTTGGGAAGGTGAAGTGAAATGTTGGAAAAAAAAAACTGTTGAAGAAGGATAGTGATAAAAGATTTTAAAAAATTTTGATTTTAAGACTTTGTGGTGATGTATGGCATAAATAAACTGCCTGATAGTTTTATCCACCTATCACAATGTGTACATTTGTACTGTCCACATGTACTTGGCATGAACTCTCCACTATTTTATGACGGCAAAAGCCTAATGAATTTGGTGGTCTTCATGGAAGATTTGTACAATTACAATTTCAAATGAAAGGTGGAAGACTTTCCAAACGTCATCCCCTACACTTGTGCCATCCATTCAACAAAGTTTCATCATGAATACTCTACCTAAACAATCTATCAAATAATAACATCTCACACTCTGTTGAACAGTTGAACCAGAGAAAAAACCGTGAGTGATCTAGCAGAGAAATACACCCAAAAAGGAAATTCACTATATGAAAGAATGGCCATCAAATGTTTCAACATTTTGCACAAAAACTGCTCGTAACATCCAATAATTATTTATTATACTTTAAAATCCTTTGATACTTCAAGAAGCAAAACATGTTCTTATCTATAACAAAAACTGTGTTTCCTCAACGTTAGTTATTAGTTAAATCAGAAATGTAGGTAAGGTAAAACAAGAGTACGTGACTACACAGGTTAAATTGTAAACTTACAGCTGTAAGACTTTAATCCTTATTTTAATAACCTTCATAATAAAAGGTATTACTGTTGTATACATCTCAACAAAACATAACCTGTGGGTAGAGAACAAATAAAACTTTAAAATTATCCTTTATTTTTCAGAAATCAATCATTTCTTTCTTAAACTCCTGAAAAGTGATGGCCTCCACTACTTCCAGCGGCAACTCACCCTGCTAGAAAAATAAAACTGTCTTAATTGAAGCCTAACCTGTCTTTTCCAAGTCTTAAAACAGTGTCCTCTCGTCCTATTATTTTCAGAATATAGCACATTCTGATGCCGAAATACTACCTGATCAATGTGCATAATACACTTTGAATATCTCACTAAAACTACAGTGGAGCACAAGAACATTAAACATTCAATATTGATAGACATCAGAATACTAGTAGATGATATATTATAGAGTATACTTGTATGGGCGTCGTCAAGGGACGAGGTCGTCGGGTGCAAAGCCACACCCACCCACTCCCAATCTGAACTGCATTTTGATTGTCGTGGAAACTGTCGAAGGTAGCGTTATAGTTTTATATTCATTAAATATTTCGTTTGCTATTGTGTTTATTCAATTGAACAGGAACCTTGCTACAGACTATGTACTGAACAGCTACTGACTCATGGTTAACGTAAGCCCACACGTGTTATTTATTTCAGAAACTAACCCCTGATAAAATCCTGGCAACGCACATGTAATAAAGTACAATATATATTAACATTCTCAAAGCATTTTAAATAAGTATTTAAATGTGTTTAAAAGAGTTGTAAACAACTGTCTCAAGGTTAGTAAGTTAACATGAAGCTTCTAAACGGTGAAGTTTATCCATATAATGTTATTTTTTTACAGACCTTGAACAAAGAGCCTCAAAATGCCTTCCTTTTCTCCTTTTCCATTTACAATACATTGATATTCTCCACTAACTCGATAGGTTACAAGCCGGAAATGAAGGGCGTAGGAATCGGGCAAAATCGACACTTCTGGTTCAGCTTCCCATACAGTCACTTTTTCCTCACGCATTTCTACCATTCTTTTGTCCTCCTTCCACCACTCCACCTGAAGGATGTTGGAAGAATCTTCCGCCGGGCGACATGGAAGTGTGACATTACTTCCAGCACGGACATAGATTTTCTCAATTTCATCGTCGCCTATGAAGAATAAAAAAAAACTATTAATTTTTACAAATTATAAACAGTAATTAGAATAATTAAGTTTTATAAGCTGCCTACAAGGTTTTTAATTAATGTCAATATATTATTTTATTTTTTCAACCTGTTTTACTGCTTAGTGTACAAAACTTTCACGGTCTTATGCTTCTCTACATTCCCATGATAAGCGGTATTGTTGAATGTCCACGTAAAAAATTATAGAAAAAGAAATTATATATATTTTACTATTACTAGGATATTTTGATGGAATCAAGATAAGGGTACTTGCATCAAGCTCAAACATATAACGGCTTAGATAAAGAGATATTGTTCTAATTTCTGATCTCTCCAACAGCTAGAGAAAATATGAACCATCCTTTTGTGAATATTTTCCTTCTAGAAGAGAACAACTTTATAGTGACCATAATCTCAGGTCACTCCACAAACTCGGTGAACACACAGCTTAATGAAACATCGTATTCGCTTAAGATACAACTGCAGTAGTACGAGATGTCCAAATGTGTCTTACTACCAAGCGCTAGTGGGTTAACCTTTAGACGAGTTGGTAGAGCACTCGCCTGTCGTGTAACAGGTCTTGGATTCGAGTCGAAAAAACATACATACTGTAAAAACAAATTACCACAGAAGCACATAAATACTAGTGAAAACGTTGTACTCTGATGCAATACCAGGCAAATCAATCACTGAAACGTCGTCCTAGTAAAAACCCCAAACAGAAATACCGACGAATGATGATTGTTTGTTTGTTTGTTTTTGAATTTCGCGCAAAGCTACACGAGGGCTATCTGCGCTAGCCGTCCCTAATTTAGCAGTGTAAGACTAGAGGGAAGGCAGCTAGTCATCACCACCCACCGCCAACTCTTGTGCTACTCTTTTACCAACGAATAGTGGGATTGACCATCACATTATAACGCCCCCACGGCTGAAAGGGCGAGCATGTTTGGTGGGACGGGGATTCGAACCCGCGACCTTCAGATTGCGAGTCGAGCGCCTTATCCATCGGGCCATGCCGGGACTCCGACAAATGATGAAGAATAATGTTGAGTTAAAAATTCAGAGAAAAAGAAAACTTATAAAATCTTGAAACTCCAAAAAATAAGCTTGTGGTGCTAAAACATTAGGCAAGTGTCACATAAGTAACAACATGTATACAACATTGTTACAAACATCCTCGAAGTTCATGCAACAAATAAAGCCGACGCATTTTGACTCAAAACCAAATTTCATTGTGTACAGTAGATACTTTTGAAACCGTTTAGTTTTTGTTTACAAAAGAACAAACACAACCGTTATCATATAGTATACAAGTTCTTTATCTGGATGCTGATATTTAACAGTACATTACTATGTTGCATCAGACTGGTGTGTACGTTATCACTTCATATACACTCATGGATTTAATGTGGATGAAGACGCCAACATTTTAATAGTAAACCCCAACTCGCTCTTTCTTGTACAAATGTACATCCTTAATTTGGTCAAATCGTCAGAAGATAGACTGTATTAGGTTTTCATAATTGCGATAACTTACACATTAATTTCGTCATCATTATTAACTAATTCTCCAGCTTATCATATCTTCCACGTATAAAAAACAGCTTTAATTCTGATCTCAGCTTAAACGTGAATCAATCTTAACCTTAACTGGATACGATCATACCAATAATTTCAGTTCTTTAAAACACAATAGGTTGAGTACGTTATATTAAGATGACTTTGAATACGCAAGTCACAAGTCATGTGACAACCACCGCCTTTATAAAATCGCGGTAGAAGAAAATGTATCAGAACTATATTTTGACACTGTTTGGCGTTTTGTGGGTAGTATGGTACGACCGAAAATTTACTATTTTTGAGAAGGGTATGTTATAGCCATTTCCGACGCAAAATATTCATACACTCATATTATAAAGATATATTCAGATCGGGGATATCTATTGTAATTAAAGACGCTGACAAAAAAAAAAAATGCGGATCAAATTGGGGTACAAAAACCACTCATAAAGAGACTTGCAATACGTCGTACTCCAGCCGTGGTAAGCAAAATGCAGCGTCTTCTAACAGGTGAGAATCCACGAACATCAAGTGCGATCATATTGTTGAAACAGGAGCTAGAAGAACAATATCATCCTTGTACATTATCCTCATACATTAGATGTATTGTGTAAGGTTTTCAAGAAGGATTGGAGTGCTTTGAACATGAAAATCTTGTGACATAGCTTTTGCAATGGAAACTACGCTGCAGGGCTATCGTTAAGATGCATAGTTGTCAGATGGGACATGACCGGAATTGGCGAGATGGAGTGTAACGATGTGGTGAGGCTTCAAAATCGTTTTAGTATAACGTACTTAACCTCTGTAAATCACAATTCATATAAAATGTTTGAAATTATGTTACTGATACAATGTAATCTTGACATTCTTAATATAACCAGAACTTGTAGGGCAATCAATGTATTAATAACAATACAATTTTCACAATTCATAGAAATCTCTACAGGTGTATGGAACGTTCACGTAATATATCGAATCACTGATAACAAGTCGTTCTTATCACACAGGAAGTAGGTGTACTTGAAACCATACTAGCATTGCGTGTATTTTAACCTTACTATATACCGTTAAAAGCTCTGCTGACCCTGTACAGATGTCAGTGGTGTAAGGAAAGAGATGTGGCTGTCCTCTTAAGCGAGTCAGCTGTGAAAGTTACCGTGATGAGCGCCATATTTAAACTTGTTAGCTAATGTATTAATTAACGAGAGGAACCAAACCATTTGTCTTCTTAATTTTTGAAGTTATTTTTCTGTTAAAATTAGGAGACAAAAATTAATGTTTCTATTAAGTACAATCAGTTTTATGCTGTCTTTATTTCATTTTGTTCTTTTATAACAAGAATTGTACTTCTAAATAAAGTTTCAATGAGTTGAGCTCAGTTTTGAAATCAAAGTTGATTAATTCCAAACCGAATTATATGAGCGTAGGATAATGGTCTAGGATACAGAATGATCTGTACCAAAAAATTATGAAAAACAGCGACGTTTGCAAACGAATGAAAATATAATTCTGTCCAACACAAGGTTTTGAGGGTGGAAATATTTTCTCTCTCAACTAATGAATGTTTACAGTAATCTATTTTGTTGAGAGTACTTTATCAGTGGGGCCTTCTTCAGCCCGTAGTACTTTAGTAAAATTGTTGTTGACAGTGGGAATACTTCACCCAAGACCGTATACCGTGTATTGTGACGTCACAAACTGTGTCATTCTGTGTTGTTTCTTTAACATATTATATTTTACTGAAAGGTTAGCTTTTCAATGGAAATTCAAATGAATATCTTCTTAACGAGTAGTTTCACTAGACACATTTTATTGTTCTTAAAAATAATATGCTTTGTGTACCAACTTATAATTTTGCATTGCTTGTAGCAGTAATTAAAGGCTGCAAAATATGTTATTGTGACCAGCCTTTTCATACGTAGAAAATGTAATAACCTTATATATTTCATTTTCTATTTACAATAAGCTCGATTTAACATTCATCAGGCAATTTCACAATACCTTAGCATTCCTATAAATAAATAAAAAAAGTTCTGTGGCGTAAAATCTACTGAAATTAAACAAGAATGAGGTAAAACTATTCAAAAATAGTTAAAAAAATTGACATTTATCAATCACTTTTACTTATAAAAAAATCCATGTGAAAGAAGTTTAACCCATCCTAGAATCGTTCTATAAACAAGTGGGAAAACATAAAGTCAGGATAACTACTAGATAGTTCTTTAATAATAACACAATCAGAATGATTAACACAATAAATGTATACATCATTTAACTAATTACTGATATGCAATCATTAGTAGTTTTTGTGTAATTAAACAATTATATAAAAAACACCATATCATATACAATTATAGACAAAAGAAAACAGAGAATTTATAACACCACATTTAACAAGATATCACATTACCAATGTACTAACAATACATAATTTAATGGTTGGAGATGGCTTGAATGGGTAATGAAGAAAAACTTTAATATAAGTTTAACATAACAGCAAATGTACAAAAAATTAATTTTCTTTAAATGCTGAAACATACTTTGAAGGTAAATTACTTTGGCCACATTAAACCTTTTCAATCAATGTCTTACAAGTATTTTGTACGGTCTTCAATCAAATGTTCATAAGCTAGTGATCGATCGCAAGGCAAATTAATTTTACAGTAATTGTAGTTTATATTTACATCACATGCAACATATCTGGCTATATGTACAAAAATTATCATATCTTGTTTGGTAATTGCAACATTTGCACACTGGGAGATAACATTTCAAAATTTTGACTAATATCAATGTCACTTTCTTTTGTTTAACTGCCTACAATTGAAAAATGTTTAATTTGGAAATTGCCTAATTTTACAGAGCTTAGGCTAATTAAACTAATCAATTTCGACTTTCTCACAGTTTAACATTTAGTGAGGGACCTACTGTTGTATATGTCAATGAAAACCTAACTGAATTATGGAGACAACTCATGAAGAAACACATTAACATAGCATAATCAAATGAAAGACAGGTATTAAAATCAAGAACTTTATTACCAACAATTATCCCACTAAAAATAAAAAACAATGAACTCGTACACAAAATCAAATGAAATTCATGTAAACACTTTTATACTGGAGAAACTGGAAAAGAAATAAGCCTCAAACTTAAGGAACATCTTAAAAGAGTCATCTATTTTAACATCTCAAAGTAACAAATCATATCAATGAAAACAATATTGAAACCACCCAAAGAGAATCAGGTATCAACAGAATAAAAACAGCTGAGACACTACTGACAGTCATCAAAGCAAATGCTAAATAAATATCCAGGAACCTAACTTTAAGTATATATTTTACTAAAAAAGCTAAGTCAAAGCCAGCTGCAAACTTGTCCTGAGCAGCACAAGTCTGTAACATTCTTTAAATTCAACTGTCTTT